ACAGGGTCGTCCCAATATGCGTTTTTGCAATTTGCATATAGGCAAAAACGCATAAAAATGGGAGAGCCGGGGCAGGTTCCCTAAATTTTCATAAATGCGCGAAATGCTAAATAAAAGGGAAATCTTGTCGCAGTTGCAGTCATTTACTTAACTCAATCGTTTTGAGCACGGTTGCATGTAAGTTTTCGCTGCGAGCTTAACAGTTTATAGTAAAGCACTGGTGCATTGAGAATGCTGCGTGCAACGAGGAAAACGAGTAATGTTCGGTTGCATCTCAGCTAAAAAACTGGTAAATGTTTGTTTTGAAAGTCGGCTTCGGCTATCGAAAGAAGTAAAGAGTAAACAAATTCACATAGTATGTTTCCGGAAAGGTTTATCGCAAAATCAGCGAATGTGATTTCTATTCCTCCTCAACCCTGTGTTGAGCAACAAAAACTTCCTTCAGGCCAAAATTTCAAGTAATTTCACTAAACTTTTTTCCTTCTATTACTTTTGAAAATTCTAAAGTCTCTCGCAGTAAACAGTGACAGCATAGCTGCTGCGGTCTTAGTGAATTTAGCTCTTTGCTTCGTATTCAAGTGAAAACAAATATTGTTGAATTTAATTTTAAAACGGCAAGGAAAGTTCCAGCCCGTAAAGCAACAAGCACCTAACTGGTCATTTTTGTAAGGTCCTTAGGCAATAAAAAAATGAGAAGAGCGAATTCTCGCCGGCGAAAGTCGAATTCCCGAAGAAGACAAGGTCAAAGACGGAGCAAGTCGGACCCAGAGCCGCTGTCCGAACTCAGTGCGCAATGCTGTAGTTGCGGAAGTATGGTTTGGAATGCTTTTTATCATTTGTACAAAGTGCTCAATTTAATTAGTAGTAGAATTTGTTTGTATAGCAGATCAGCAGCTTGGCAGCCGATGCGGGTTGTGCTGGGATTTCGGAATGCACGTACATTTCAGATCTCCATTAAAAAGCTACTAAATAGCAGCTAAATAGCGGCTAAATAGCAGTGCTTGATTTCTTGTTTGTTTTTGCATGTATGCGAATTGCAAAAACGGCCCTGTCTGCTTGTGTATATGTGTGTGTATGTTTGTGTGCTCGTCAGTCTGGGTATTTCAATTCGGCAACCAAGCAAGCTCCGGCGCCAAAATTTTGCCAGTTGATTCCCTGGTCAAGTACCACCCCGAGACTGCGGTACCTGCCTTTACACAAGTCTGGGTCCGCGTGAGAGCGCGCGAAAGTTTTGGCTGGAAAATTGCTAACTCGAGAACGAGAGAAGCTAGAAGACTGAAATTTTGAAGGGATGTTCCCGTCCATGCACAACTTAGGATTGTGAAAGTCAGCTCTTAGGCGTGCGTGGTTCTCACGTACGACCCCGTGAAACTTTTTGAGGAAAAAGTGGCTGACTCGGGAACCAGGAAAGCTGGGAGGCTGAAATTTTAGAGGGATGTTCACAGCCCACGCACAACTTAAAGATTGCAGAGTCAGTCCCCAGGTACGCCTCCAGGTTATGTACGACTCCGTGAAAGTTTTGGTGGGAAAATTGCTAAGTCGGGAACCAGAAGAGCTGAAAAGCTGAGATTTTAGGAGAATATTCCCCGCCCAAATACAATCCCTCCAGTTACGCGCGGTTCTCGTGTGCGGGCACTTAAATTTCTCGGTGAGGAAATTGCTCGTTGAACAGTTAGGTCATTTTCAAAAACAAACGCCAAGTGGAAATTGCTGTTTTCGTTTGTGCAAAATTTGCGATGATTTACGGTATAGAGCGCGCAAGGTAAGTGCGAAGGAATAACTTTTTATGTAGTTGACCTAATTGCTTCAACCTTGATGCAAAAATGCACGATCGCGCCGGCAAGCCTGGTGCGTTCCAGCTTGGGTTTTAATGCTTCATAGACCCAAATATTTACAATCAATTTATTTTTGTTGCTGCAAACACCAAGACTGGCTGGACTTCAATATGGCATCTATTCTATGCAAGAGATTTTGCTGAAATGCACTATGCGGGGTAGCCATTACCAGGTCTTTCAATTTGGGCTGAACATTTCCGGTCAGACAGTAACAGAATTATTAAAAAATGTGCGTTGTTTTGAAAAAAAAATCAAGCTTTGTTATTTTTGTTGTACTAGTTTTGTATTTGCCACTGCAGG